GAAGGGAGCGTTATGTATAACGGGAAATCTCGTCATATTCGACGGAGACACAATACCGTTAGACAACTACTCTCTAGTGGTGTTATCACAATTGACTACGTAAAATCAAGAGATAACGTGTCGGATCCACTTACAAAAGGCCTATCTAGAGAGGCAGTTGAAAGATCATCAAAGGGAATGGGGTTAAAGGCCTTAGACAAGTCATCATGGCGGTAACTCTACCTAGCAGACTGGAGATCCCAAGAGCTAGGTTCAAAGAGATCAAACAAAGTTATGAATGACGGTTCAACATTGTCAACTAACTCAACCCATTCCCGTGATGAAGTCAATGTTCAAAAACGAGGTAAAGCATTAAGGCTTTTTGATGAGTCAATAAAGCTTAAAGCTTTTTAATGATTTGCTAAGTCTGGCAGGATATGACCAGATAGTGTGTCTTTAGTATTACACGTTTAGGAATCACCTATGTGAGTGTGAAGTGTAAGCTGCTTCAAGGAGAATGAAAGTAAAGGCCCATTCTCTAAGCACTCATGAAACCAGGTGGTGTTCATGGCTGAAACGAACACAACTGTGAGAACCATAGATGGTTAAGGATTGATTGTGTGACTTATGTTGTCTAGGTATACAACAAAGCTCGACGGTTCAAAGATATCAAATCTACCGATTGACCGAGTATATCCGATATAAGTTCACTACGGAAAGTTCAAAGGGAAACCTACCTATCCAGATGCAATCAATTCTTGTTTGTAAAACACACACACGTCCGTGCATTCCTTTAAGTTTATAGCCATTTCCCATTCGTGTGGGGGATTGTTGGGTTTGTTATTTAATAAATAATAACAAAAGAGGTGTGAATGGAAAATGGTGGGAAAAGAAATGGAGGGATGACCCGCGACCCGGTCCGGTCTAGCCCGTTTTTCTTTCCCGGATTCATTTAAATTCGTTTTAAATTTCCCGCAAAAATTTCCAATAGCCATGGCTGTTCTGAAATAGTGTCACACCTGTTCTAACAGCCATGACTATTCTGAAAAGTTGCAAACCACTTCAGAGGGTCACACCTGTTCCAATAGCCATGACTGTTCTGAAAGGTTGCAAACCTCTTCAGAGGGTCACACCTTTTCCAATAGTCATGACTATTCTGAAAGGTTGCAAACCTCTTCAGAAACATCACCAGGTTGACTATAAATAGACCTTCAAATCCCAGAATATTTACTTACGAAATTTTTTGAATCTTCTTCTTCTTCTTCTGCACAAAATATTTCAGTGTGTTTTACGACCATCGAGTGGTTCGCCGATCACCAGAGTTTTAGGTACCGATATACTGGTGAGTTAAATCGTTCTATCCTGGGAGGATATATTCCAAAACCTCGGGTACTTGAGGGGAATAATTTCCTTAAGGACACACTGTGTATTCAGTGGGCTCGATTTGTTCCTATAACGTTTTTTCAGAATTTATTTTGAAGAAGTTTACTCTTTTCGGAATTTAATAACTAACTTTCTGTTTCTGTTTTCAGAAAGATTATTATTTAATTTATAGCAATACAGATTTATAACAAAAATATCAAGTTGCAAAGGTGAATTTATCTGCGAAATACATAAATGGCCCCTCCAAGTTGTCCACAACGATCATTTGAACACCTCAACAGACCTATTTACCAAGTAGACACCTCAAGTTATTTTTCATTGTATCTCTTAAACCCTTCAAAGTGACATGGCAAAATGTGTGTACTACACTCGCTTGAAGCAAGTGAAGCCTTTCAAAATTATGTTTATTTCTTTTTTTTTTTAATTTAACTGGTGGAACCCATTTTTCCTCGCTCTTTCTTCTCCAAAATTTTCTTCCCTATTCACATAGTGAACGTGCAAAACAGAAATCGCCTGAAACAATAAAGTGAATTACCTATTTCCTAAAATTCACCCTCTTCTATGTGTACTGCTCACAAACTTAAAAAAGCCCTAATGTCTTTATAATTTCTTCATACAACTCCAGCTCCAACCCATCTAACATAAAAAAATAAAATGTAGCATGGACCGAGCACTTTCAGTTATTCTTACTGGTAGCAATAATTATCAATATCACTTGAATAATTCTGAAGTTGATTTTAAGAGAGGAACATGAGTTAGAAGATCGGGTGATTACCGGTTGGATATTTTTCGGCGGAACTCCGATGAGATTTTTCACCATTATTGGGTCTGATAAGTTGTAACAGAGTATTTTGTGGGGGAGGGGAGCTATGGAGGAGAAAATAAATAAGAAAAAGATCACCGGAATATGTTCCAACCACCGTCGACTCCGATCATCTCTTTCTTTTACGGTGGTCTCTAAGTTTTTGTCATGGACTCATGGTCATCAGCCTTTCTCGTGAGAGGCAACGAGACAGAAGGGGATTGGTCGGAAGGGGTCTTCTTTGACATCGGAAGATGAAGTTGGAGGTGGGGGGGGGGGGGGAGGGGGGAGAGGAGGAGAAAGGGCGGTGGAGAAGGGTTTTTTCTTCTTTAAATTTATTTTATTTTTTTGGTTAATTTGTGTTAAGTTTTAATTACAAATTATACGTGTCGTTCATTGATTGGCTCATTTGGCAAGTGTAACTCACGCATCTAGTATGCTGTACCGCGGTGTCTATTTGATTTACTTAACAATCACTTGAAGTGTCTAACTGAAAATGGTCTCAGTTGAGATGCTCAAATGACCGTTATGAACAACTTGAAGGGGCCATTTATGTATTTCGCCTTTTCATTTTGAAGTAAATAGGTTGGTCAAGTTTACAAGGTAAATGAGTCAAAAGAGCGAAGACGCATGCGCAAGAACAGAAGCACACGTGAGATAGCGTGTGGCAGTGAACAAAACTTTTACGTGCGCTTATATGAAATTTCACTGATTGGGATGTGGTCAGCCATCGTGCTACCAGTGGCTCGTGAGTGACTGAGCCAATGAGCTTTTTAAGTCAGGGTTAAGTTGCACATTTATCATCTACATTTAGTGATTGTTTTTTTTTTTTTTTTTTTTTTTTTTTTTGCGAACAGTTTATTTATGTTTCTTGAAGAAGTTCTTTGTTCTTAAAAAAACTATTAATTTTTGGATGATATTATTGCCAATTGAGGTCAGGAATCATATCAAAACTGAATGAAAAACATTGTACATAGAGTATCTTAAAAAATTGGTGATAGCTACAGCGCAAACAATTTGGAGAAATTCTCATTGTTTGTCCCTTGGTATAATGGCAATTGGTCATCGATTGGCCGATTCTGAGAAAAAAAGGAATAAAATGCTTCAGTCTTTTCTCTTCTTTTAATGATGTTTTTGCTTTTTGAGTCAATTGCAACTCTCTTTGGATGCTGTAAGTTAAAAGTAAAAAAGTTGGTCATTGTTTTGCATCTCTTTTTGATCCTATATAGGCCAATCTATGTCGGATCAATCATGCTCTTCCTTCGATTATTGGAATTTGAAATATATAGTCATTAATAATAGAATGATAAACTTCCTCATAATGCTAAAAAATACTACTCCCTCCGGTCCAAAATAAGTGATTTTTTGAATGTTTTCACATAGATTAAGAAATCTACCTTTTAGCATTAATTAGCAATGAAATTGACCATATTAACCTTTAATATCTCACATAAATACTCCTAACACATATTCCAACACTATTTAATCCAAGGACAATGTAGGAAAAAAATAATTAATTCATTCTTGAAATCTGAAAAAATCACTTATTTTGGACCACAAGAAAAAGGCCAAAAAATCACTTATTTTGGACCACAAGAAAAAAGCCAAAAAATCACTTATTTTGGACCCACAAGAAAAAGGCCAAAAAATCACTTATTTTGGACCGGAGGGAGTATAAAAAACTTCATGTGCCCTATATTCATTATGTTCTCTTTGTCATAATTTTCAGTAGGAAAATGTGACTAGGAGTCTAGAATAAAATGTGAGAATTTGGAGCTCACTGTATAGATACTGTTTGTGTTAAAAGGAAGAGAAATAAAAAGGAAGTTGAACTTTAGTTTTATCGTTTTATACCTCTTCTTTAGGCAAGATCCATGAAAATAGGCAATTGGGGCTATAAAGCAAACATCATTGAATTTTGGAAGACAAGTGAATTGATTGCAGACAAGCCGAAAAGCAGTTAATAGTAATATGGTTAACACTAATGAGTGTCACCAGATCTTCTAATCTACTACTCCCTCCGGTTCACAATAAGTGACCAATTTGCTTTTAACACGCCCATTAAAAAAATACTAAATTCTATATAAAAATACCTACTATGACTAAACTACCCCTAATTAAATATTTAATGTGAGGAGTAAGAAAACTTTTTAGGGATATATACATAGGGGTTATTTTGTAAAAACAAATTGAATTCTTTCTTGATTACATAACTGACACTTATTTTGAACCAAAATAAAAAAACAAATTGGTCACTTATTGTGAACCGGAGGGAGTACTAAGGCAAATCTCCAAAAACAAATGAAAAAAAAAATGGATGCCATGCTAGTAAATAGGGGAAGAGCCCTTTTATTTTAATTTTGTGGTCCTGAATGGTTTTTGGGATTTTGAAGAAAAATCCACTGTCAACAAAAAAACTCTGTTTAATAGACCTAAGTAGGACCATTGATCTAGCAGCAACATCATTTAGTGGCTAATAGAAATGCCATACAAAGCCTAAGATCTACTAATGCAAGGAGCCTAGAAAGACAACCAAATCATGTTTTTTTCCTATTTTGAACAAACATAATATTTTTATTTTTCCTCTAGTGAGGGGAAAAATTTCCCCACGTTTTCTTGGAAATTAAAGCAAGTGATAAAGAATTTATTGAAAAAGAAGAAAGAATCAAAGCGTTGAGTTACGGTGGTTGAACGGTAGTACGTAAATTTATTGTCCGCAATCTTATCTTATATTTCTGCAAGAAAAAAACTCAAAAGTTACGAAATAAGATTGTACACTATCTAGATGGTCCAATATTTTTGCTTCCTTTGTTGCTTAGGAAAGTCTCAAACTCTACTAAGAGAGTTGGACAACACAACAATGGCTACATAGTTCTCTTTCTCCTTCCTCTTGCATTGGCTCAAAGCTCTTCCATTCACCTCCTGTTGCTGACGTGTCAAATGCATAGACCACCGATATAGTCATTGATGGATTATCGACCGTCCGATAACCAGCCAAGAAATACAAATGTGTCCCAACTGGGACCATTGTTAAGTATAGTCGAATAATTGGTTGTCCATTTTCTTCAGAGGGAAAAATATTATTTTGTGAACCTTCAACCATATACCATATATTAAGTTTCCCATCATATACCTCAATATGACCTTTCCATGCATTAAGACAATCCCCAGAGCTAAATAACCTACCATTTACCTCAACTATTTGATTAGCTGGCACATCTAATTGCCACATCCCTGCCATAAGGTCCCACTGTCCCCTTGACGTGTCATACAGCTCAGCCGAACAACGGTCCACGTATTGCGAAAAACCTCCACCTTGGACAAATCCACCAACCACGTGGATTTTTCCTTGCCACGTCACACCTACACATTTGCATCTTGATCTATTCATATTTGGCAATTGAGTCCATTCATCAACTAAGGGATCATAAACCTCAGATGATGAAGTACCCCTAGCACTACCTAACGTTGATTGTCCTCCAGCTACATAAATCTTATTGTCTTTAACTACATATGCAAAATTGTAACGTGGTACGTTAAGTGATGCACATTTTGACCATTGATTAGAATTAATGTCATAACGTAATGCCGATGATAGTACATTAATATCACTATCGAAAAATTCATCGTTTTCATATTGAGCATTTTGAGTTTTCTCTTTTCGACAAAGTCGACCACCTATAATGTAAATTGAATTTGAAATTGACACCATAGCGAAGTCCTTGAGCACATGATTTTCGGGCAAATCGGGAATCGAAGTAACGTAACTCCAAGTGTTATTAGAAGGATCATAACATGCTATCCAGTTTGTAACAGTGGTATCATTCGTTACAATAGTTGAAGAAAATGAGGCAAAAATAGAGTACCTCCATGTGGAATTTTCCGGCGAGTGTGGAGCTGCTCGAGATGGGGAAGGGAAGGAAAGAGAACCCATAAGTTTGAAGGGAAAAAATTTATCCGCACTCGATGTTTTCAAATCAGAAGATGATAAGAGTTGTAGTAATTAAGTAAGGTTGTTATGTTCAAAGGATGAGATATATGCTCAACTTCATATATGTAAGATTTTCAGTGATAGGACGGAAAACACAATGAAAAATTGTTTGTTAGCATCGCTAAGTATAGGCGTCCAATGTTTGCAATTGCATGTTATATCATCATGATTACTAGTTTTTACTGTTATAGAATTTATCGAAAATTTTGACTGTTTCTGATTGTTTTTTTATTAATTACATGGCACAAGCCTAATTAAGGCGGCTACGAGTAATTAAGAGAATATTCTTAATAAGATCAACTGATCAAGTATATGAAATCAAGGTTTTTTGGCAAATGTAAAAGAAGAGAACGTTGTGCTTTCCATTGGTTTTCGTTTATATAACCATGAAAAAAATGAGAAACATCGTCAACCAATTGCTTCATGACACGTAGCCTGTTAATCTTGTCGTTCATTTGAACTCTTTTCTTCCATAGAGTATGTGCATTAATGGAATCTCACTTCTGTTTCTTAATAAAAAATATAAAACAATGCTTATAAGAACTAAGAGAGTAAAATACATGAAAAGGAGGTATCGAAATTCTTCCATAGCAGTTATGCATCACTAAGGCTGGGAAAAATGTAGTATTAAATTTCTATCTAGGAGCAGATGACTGAGATGATCATGGCATGCTTGTCGTCCATTATATTTTATATATTTATGCAATAAATCACCTACCAACAATAGGAGTACTTAATTATGTGTTTACATAATTTTACATAATTAGCCCCACAAGAAAATATATTTGTTTTAGGTCTGGGAAACACCCCACTATGAACTTTGGTGTACATCCCACTCTGAAAAAGTTAGAAAAAGGTAAAAGGGAGCAAATCCAAATGAGATACTCTCTTTTATGTACTAATAAATAAATAAATAAATCAGACTGGAAATTGGATAATATATAGTAGCACTATTAGAGGGTGCAAATTACATCATGTGAGAATCTAGCAACACTGTAGTTGTCGAGCCAAGCATGAATTTAGTGACTTTACATATTATACTACGCTTTGAGATTATCAAGAAACAACTCCTTTCTTTACTCGTACTAGGAGTAATATTTATTTCCATTCCTTTATTTAATATTCAATGAAGATCTTTTTCTTATCTTCTTTACGCTTGCGGACCTACAACCTCTGTTTTAAAAGGTAGAATTGGGACTCGCTCCGGGGCGGAGCTCTCGTAAAACGCCTATGTGTGGGGCTTAGTTCTGTGAGACTTACGCCTCGGCCATCGAGGCTTATGCTCCAGACACGCCCAACGCCCAGCGTACTGGGCTCGCCTAATAGAACTTTATGCAATTCTATCTAACTAACCTTGTAAATTCTCAAATTTTCTTAATAAATCGTTGACTATTCAAAATTACTTTTTTCTTAATCATAAATCATTAAGTTGAGAGTATGTTATGTCATAATTAAAATAAAAATTATTGCATGTTATCCACTAAGACTGCTATGATAGTTAATTTTAAATAAATCTTTCATTTAAAAGGTATTTATTTATTAACTTCTGTTATGTCTTTACTATATAATAGTTCATAATTTTTTATAATTATTTTTCTAGATATTTTTTTTCACGTTTACGAGATACAATACTTATAAATTTAATAGCTCAGTATTAGCTAGTAACTATTTACAAATAATTAGTCATCATGGTATTGTATGGTAAATTATGTGTCACTTTATTAACTTGTTGAAACTTAAAAATAAATAATGCTAGAGAATCATATTTAAATTATGAATTATGTTTTTATATAAATTCTCTTTCAAATAGAAAGCATATTAAATAAAAGGAGTATTTTAAGAAAAATATCAAATTATAATATCGAAATTCTTTCAAGAATCATTACTCCTTAAGAGATAAATATAAGATTTCTTATCGAATACATTACTTTTGATGTTTGAGTTGTAACGACGTTGCAGCTAATTTACATATTATGATATATGTCATACTTTTCATATTATTCATAGTTGAATTATAATTTATAAATATTTTAAATAGATTATTTGTTATAATTTTGTGGTTCATGTAATTTTTATAATTATTTTTTATTTTATACTATCTTAAAATTCTTAAAATCAGTAAAATTTAAAGATCCGTGGGACTTACGCCCCATGTCTCAGGGCTTACGCCTCGCCTTGTTAGAGGTAAAACGCCTCGCCTCACGCCCCCGCCTTTTAAAACATTGCCTACAACTTGTATAAACTCAATTATGTTTCGAGGAACAGTTCGTTAACAAAGAGTTCAGTTTAAATAAATATTACCTTAAAAAAGAAGGGATAATCATAATCATCAGCGGCATTTAGTTACTTTTTCACATATTTACTAGTAATAAATAAAGATGACTAATCCATTTTTCTTGTAAATTTAAAACCATGTAGTGACCATTTTTATAAGTTTGTAACTCATAAAATGTGGCAAAACAATTTTTCTGAAATACAGTCTAAGACGCACAATTACCTTCTGAAACCAAACCTAAAATCATACAAAACCAAGCTCAAAATTAGAGCCGGACTACATCTAGAAATCTGAGCAATTCTGAGGATAATAGTGTCAGTGGGCTGAAATAATATAATTCGGCCCATATACTCTTTCATTTTGGGCTTATTTGGGCTGCTATTTAAGAGTAATATGTTACTCCAAAAATGGGTAGAAATGGCGTTGGATAGCCACTTTATAACATGGTCTTTGGATTTTATTCAGTATTTTTAATGCTGAGCAAAAATAGTCACTACTTTATTAAAATTAATACGAAAAGAGGTTTTTACCCTTTCTTCATGACTGCTCTGTAAATATTAAGGACATGGTGTCCTTAACATTTACACTGCACACATAAAGTTAAGGACACCATGTCCTTAACATTTACAATGTACATATGAAGTTAAGGACATGACAGGACACTTTGTCCTTAATATTTACACAACATTCATGAAGTTAAGGACACCATCTCCTTAATATTTACACAACACTCATAAAGTTAAGGACACTATGTCCTTAATATTTACACTGCACACATCAAGTTAAGGACACCATGTCCTTAACATTTACATTGCACATACGGAGTTAAAGACATGAGGTCCTAAAGTTTAACAACAGAAGGTGAAAATACAAGTTAAGGACATTATGTCCTTAACATTTATACTGCACACATGAAGTTAAGGACGCCATGTCCTTAACATTTACACTGCACATATGAAGTTAAGGACATAGGTGCCGTGTAAATATTAAGGACATGATGTCCCTAACTTCATGAATGTTGTGTAAATATTAAGGACAAAGTGGCTTGTCATGTCCTTAATTTCATATGTGCAGTGTAAATGTTAAGGACAATGTCCTTAACAATTACACTGCACACATGATGTTAAGGATGCCATGTCCTTAATTAACATTAACACTGCACATATGAAGTTAAGGACATGACAAGACACTTTGTCCTTAATATTTACACAACATTCATGAAGTTAAGGACACCATGTCCTTAATATTTACACAACAACTATGTCTAGCACAGGGGTATTTTTGTCCGGGTGGATAAAAATTTATTAAGCACTAGCTAAAAAGTAAATACATTTTAAACAGTGGCTAAAGAGTAAAGACATCTCTAATTAGTGGCTAACTGTGCACTTTCCCCCCAAAAAATAATTCTTAAATTAATCAATCAATTAAAAATATGGCCTAAAGCATAAGTTTAACGCGAGGCCTAAATTTTTGAAAGGAAGTTATGATATATATTTTTAGTTGAAGTCTACTTCTATCTTTTCGAGATGCAAAGTTGTTAATAATTTTTTTATAATCGATTTTCTCTAATAATTCCTTTTCAATTGATAATATAGCCAACCCATTTAATCCATCTTGAGACTTTATTAATCTCATGTAAGATTTTATCAATTATAATCTTGAAAATTTTCTTTTTTTTGAGGCAACTGTTGTAGAAAAACTCTACTTTAATATGAAAAATACTAAATAATTTTTTTTAAATACCTATAAACCTATTATTTCTAACCAATTGGGCTCCCAAATCTTGGGGGCTAAGGCAAAAGCCTTAATTGGAAGTTTGGAAACATGTTAGAGCCGGCAAAAAGGCAAAGAGGGAAAAGAAAAATATATAAAAGTTACAACACCTCCATTAAGCTAGATCTCATTGAAAACTTCAGTGTTACATTTGGCCTATTTATCTTCAATGATTAAGGCAGCATTAGCTTCAAAATTTTAGAAAACTTTTTAACCCTTTGAAAAGAGATTTATTTTTTCGACCAAACTACTGAAATACTTCTCTTTCTTGGTGCTTGATTAACAAATTTGCAAAAATATAGAAACAGAAAAAGTTTTGAGATTCTTTTTATTTTAACTTATTTAGTTTTGCAAAAGCTCCTCTTCGAAATTCGAAGAAAATGCCACCTGAAAAACTGTGGTATACAAGTGAAGAACTAAATACAACCAAATTCACAAGTTCTTGATGGGTATTGGTGAAAAATCACACAGATTTCAGTTTTTCCACGCAACACTAATGAAAAGCACAAATGGATTCATGTTTGTGTAACCATGATTAAGATGGGAAGGTCCAGCTCGGCCTGTGTACATAGAGTTAATAACTGCACATCCTGCTGCCAATCTAACATATGCCTAAGAAACCATAAAAATTGAAATAAAAATGAATCTACCAGCAACAAGTGGTTTAAAGAAAAAGAGTACAAGGTCTTCTTGCCTTTAGCTCTATTAAGTTAGGCAATGTGAATCCTGAAGGAACTTTGATCATCTTTCAGACAGCAGGATCTTCAAGTGACGCAGTAGAAAGATTGGTTATGCGAGGATATACTGCTTTTTCATCAAGCTGGTTCTGTGCCCATATCAACATCTTCAATAGGCTTGGAAGCTTTGGATCTGTTGTTTTAATCAAAGATGATTC